GTATTTAATCACCGCTGGGGTTTTTATTTTTTGCTAAATTAACAAAAAAAAAGACCAAAAATTTTGAAAAAAAAAAAAAAACACGTTTTTCTTTGTTTCTGTTATAAAAGTTTACAAATAAATAATTGTTCTTCATAAATTTAGGTCGAGATGTATTCTGCTACATGTCTTTGGTGAAAAAAATCCAAATTAGGATGTATTATTTAGTCTGTAGGAAAGTTATAGCGTTTACAAACTATGGTATAGATCTGAAAATTGATCAATCCTGAAGTACTGACTGCCAATCTAATTTCTTGAGGTCCAAGAATGTCACAAAACAGTACAGATATCCCCAAATGACCCCTTTTTGCAAAGTAGACAGTCCGACATACTTCATAAGAGGCATGGCAAGTTTTTTGAAGTTGTATTTTTTTTGTCATAATTTTTCGGAAAATTTAAAATTTCAAAAAATTATTTTCACTATTTTGTTTTTACATACTGTCACCAGTGCAGTACAGCATCATCATATAACTGGCATGGCGGTGAACAGGGACACTGACTGGTGACAGTATGAAAAAAAATATATATATATATTTTTTTTTTTTATTATTTTTAATTTTTTATTACATTTTTTTTATTTTTTTTAAAGATTTTTTTTCATAATTTACTATGACCAAAGTAGTACAATGTTACCATAGTAACATTGTACTACTTTGGGGAAGTGATCAGTATTTTTTTTTTTTACACAATTTGCTTATAGCAAAGAATTACTTTGCTATAAGCAAGCATTTACCTGAATGAAATCGATTCATTCAGGTTTTTTTTTTTTTTGTGCTTAGCTGTGATTTGCTCACAGCTAATCACATGACATGTGCATGTGATTAGCTGTGACCATTCACAGCTAGGCACTAGTATACAATGGATGGCATGAATGAAGCCATCCATTGTATACAACTGTCATGTGACCTGCTGTGATTGGTCACAGCAGGTCACATGGTACCAGCAACGGGGGCCGGTACTCAGATCTGTCATCGGCCGTGTCCGAGGTACACGGCCGGTGACAGATCGCGCCGCTGCGAGGCTCTGCATTACCGCAAACTGCGCATGTGCAGGTGCACGCCAAATGGCGTGCACCCAGAATGCCGATGCGCTTTTGAAGCCGCCAAACGGCCATTGGCCAGGCGGCTAATGGTTAATAAATAGATAAAAAGAATATCAAACTACTCACAAAATAAAATAGTCAAGTGCATGTAAAAGATCAACAAGCCACCGGATGTCCACCCACCAGGGCACGGCTTACGCGTTTCAAAGGGGGGAAGCCCTTCTCCTCAGAGCTAGCCCAAGCCTCTTAAGCTGCGATCCTAAATAGTGACTCTAGCACTCTACAAATTTAACCCCTGTCTGGGTAGAGTCCTGAACATCACATGACTCTCCCCGGGCAGGTGCTAACTTTGTAGAGTGTTATTTCATGATTTGTCCCCTCTTACCTTGTTAGGGATGGGAGTTTGCTATTTGAGCATTATGGCATCACTATTTAAGATCGCAGCTTAAGGGGCTTGGGCTAACTCTGAGGAAGAGGGCTGTGCCCTGGTGGATGGATGTGCTTCCGGTGGCTTGTTGGACTTTTACCTATACGTGACTATTTTATTTTGTGAGTAGTTTGGAATTCTTTTTATTTATTATAGTTCTATGGTAATGCACTAGGCCGGTGTGCTTTCTTATTATATTTGTCTTGCAGTATTGGCTTTTCCCCGAGAACGCACCAAGGTATATCTAGTGTTGGACATCGGGGTCACTAGTGGTGGGCATTTCTACACTAATTGCTTGGCGAGATGATCCTGCCCTGACTCTCAGTGTGGACTAACCAATTTGGGGGGACCCATATCTTGTAGTGCGGACTTATATTGTCATGCATACAGTATGTACACATGGGACTACGTTCCAGTACACAATCTTTCAGCAATTCCGGCACTAATGAACATGAAGTGGGCACTAAATCCTGTAATAATTTGGTTTCTGAAGGTCTATGTCAAGGTCACACCACCAAGAAAAAACCATTTTTCCTGAGGTGGAATTTATTGGTAGTCTTGAAGATTCTCAAAAGCTCCCTTTTTTTTTTGAGACTTTATGGAACACTTTTATTAAATGGTGAACCTTGCACACTTGACAACAGCAGCGGTGGACTGACAACTCGGGGGGCCCCCGGGCAATAGGGGATCATGGGGCCCCTGTGTCCTTGCCCAAACTCAAAAAAGCCTATGAAAAAGGTACCAGTGTTGGGGTCACCATAGCTCAGTGATGGAGAAAAACTTAGGGAGAAGAGAAACACTGGAATACAAGTCAGTACCCAGCGAGCAAAAGTGTATTTGCTTTGGAAGAATAAATCACCTCTAATGTTGGGTGTCCTACATGTGTGGATGTTGCTGTGTTATATAAGACTATTAGAATAGTTTTTTCACATTGTAGAATGGGGTGCCCTTTAAAAATTTTGACAGTCTAGAGGCACCCCATTTTAGAATGGGGTGCTTCAAGACTGTCCATCATTTTTAAGGGTGCCTCGGGACTGTCTATAATTTTAAAGGGTGCCTTGACCTAAAAAAGGTTGAGAAACACTGTTCTAATACATGTGAGTGCATTTTAACCCTTTCCTTACATGGCTCAATAAAATCTACACTTAGATGGTGTGGCCCCGTCTTTTTATTATGTTTACAGTGCACAGAGATTGTCCATTACTCTGCCAGTGGAGCTGCAGCCATTGAGTAGTGGACTTTTAATATTATAGATATTCATGGACCTTTCTCCAGTTGACATTTTTACCCTGCTTAATTTCCACTTCTCCTTGAGCCATTAAGACTTTTGTTTTATAGATTAGCATTACAATTCTGTTTATTTTTCCTTTATTGCACCATCCCGACTTGTGCAAGTTAGTTCCCATTGTATAGTATATTACCAATAGTATTGGACTGCCTGCCTTTCCACGCACATGAACTTTAATAGAATCCCAGTCTTAGTCCATAGGGTTCAATATTGAGTTGGCCCACCCTTTGCAGCTATAACAGCTTCAACTCTTCTGGGAAGGCCGTCCACAAGGTTTAGGAGGGTGTCTATGGGAAGGTTTGACCATTCTTCCAGAAGCACATTAGTCAGGTCAGGCACTGATGTCGGACGAGAAGGCCTGGCTCACAGTCTCCGCTCTAATTCATCCCAAAGGTGTTCTATCGGGTTGAGGTCAGGACTCTGTGCAGGCCAGTCAAGTTCCTCCATCCCAAACTCGCTCCTGCGTGTCTTTATGGACCTTTCTTTGTGCACTGGTGTGCAGTCATGTTGGAACAGGAAGGGGCCATCCATAAACTCTTCCCACAAAGTTGGGAGCATGAAATAGTCCAAAATGTCTTGGTATGCTGACGCCTTAAGAGTTCCCTTCACTGGAACTAGGGGGCCAAGCCCAACCCCTGAAAAACAACCCCCCAAACTTTACACCTGGCATGTTGCAGTCAGGCAAGTACCGTTATCCTGGCAACTGCCAAACCCAGGCACATCCATCGGATTGCTAGACAGAGAAGTGTGATTGGTCACTCCAGAGAACACGTCTCCACTGCTCTAGAGGCTAGTGGCGGCGTGCTTTACACCACGGCATCTGACGCTTTGCAGTGCACTTGGTGATTTAAGGCTTGGATACAGCTGCTCAGCTATGGAAACCCATTCCATTAAGCTCTCTACGCACTGTTGTTGTGCTAATCTGAAGGCCACACCAAGTTTGGAGGTCTTTAGCTATTGACTCTGCAGACAGTTGGTGACTTCTGTGCACTGTGCGCTTCAGCATGCACTGACCCCACTCTGTCATGTTACGTGGCCTACCACTTGGTGGCTGAGTTGCTGTTGTTCCCAGTTGCTTCCACTTTGTTATAATCCCACTAACAGATGAGTGTGGAATATTTAGTAGCCAGGAAATGTCACGGATGGACTTATTGCACAGGTGACAACCTATCACGGTACCACGCTTGGAGTCACTGAGCTCCTGAGAGCGACCCATTCTTTCACCAATGTTTGTAGAAGCAGTCTGCATGCCTAGGGGCTTGATTGTATACACCTGCGGCCATGGAGGTGATTGGAACACCTGAATCACATAATTTGGAGGGCGGGCCCAATACTTTTGGCAATACAGTGTATACTGGCATGATGCGTCAAGATAACGAAAAACTGTATACTTAACATTCCTCAATTTTCTTTTCCTGATGCATTTTGTGTGCTGTAATGAAGATGCACCAGGAAAAAAAAGAGCATGCAAGGAAAGTATAGTTTTCCATATTTTTTTTGTTGTGTTCTTGTTGGAGATTTTCCCTCATTTTTCTGTTTGCATCATAACCTTTCTGGCCATTGGATCTAATGACCTCTGCAGTCAGGCATCATTCAACAAATCCTCTTCAATAGGAAATCTAACGGAATCTACAGAGTTTGGTGATGAAGAGGGAGATCAGTTTGTAAAAATGAAAAAAAAAAAAGGAACTCAAATGTTATATTAAACATTTATTTTAAATCTCTTTATCCTGTGTAAACTTTTTCATGTCCATTCCGAGACAATAGCAGGGAATTTGGCTTCTCGTTATGAGTTGTCTGGTGCCTAACAAGATATGCTTTCCCAGTAAAACACCTTCCACAGTCCGAACATGAAAACAGCTTTTCCCCGGTGTGAGTCCTTTGGTGTAAAAGAAGTTTGGCTGTCTGAGGAAAACATCTCCCACATTCTATACATAAATGCAGCTTGTCCCCCATGTGAACCTTTATGTGTCTGACAAGGGATGATTTTCGGGCAAAACAGTCGCCGCACTCCGAACAGGAAAACGGCTTCTCCCCCGAGTGGACTTTCTGATGCGAGATGAGGTTTGATCTCTCGGCAAAACATTTCCCCCATTCAGAACAGGAGAAAGGCTTCTCGCCCGTGTGGGTCAACTGGTGTAAGTTGAGGCGTACTCTAGTGGAAAACCATTTCCCACATTCCGAACATGAAAACGACTTCACCCCTGTGTGAGTTAGCTGGTGTGAACTCAGTTTGGCTCTCTGCGAAAAGCATTTCCCGCATTCTAGGCACAAATGTGGCTTCTCCCCCTTATGAAACTTTATATGCCGGACCAGAGAGGACTTCCGAGAGAAACTCTTGCCACATTCTGCACATGAATACGGCCTCTCCCCTGTGTGGACCTTTAGATGTGAGACGAGACATGCTTTTTGGGAAAACCGATCACCGCATTCTGAACAGGAGTACGGCCTCTCTCCCGAGTGATTCCTCAGATGTATAGCCAGCGTTGATCTTTGGGTATAGCTTTTCCCACATTCGGAACAGGAAAATGGCTTCTCCCCTAAGTGAGTTACCAGATGTTTAGAGAGAATCGATCTTTTGCCAAAACTTTTCCCACATTCGGAACATGAATAACGCTTCTCCACTTCATGACCTCCCTGGTGCGTGGTGAGGTCCTCCCTCTGGGAAAAACATTGTTTAGAATACAGGAAGGTTTCAGCCCTTCTATAATCTGTGTGATGGACAATTGCATTGGAGGGTCCAGGAAACCTCAACTCATCTGTAAGGAGATCCGAGGACAGATCTTGGATCTGAATTGCAGGAGAGAGATTTGGGTTGATGCAATTTACTAATGAGGCATCCACTGTAATGTCTCCATCTTGTATATAATTATCTAGAGAGGCGATTGGATATTTCCACCAATTATCCCAGCCGTGTCGTCCATCTGAAGGGAAATAAGCCATGGAGGGAAATACGAAGAAAGAACTTCAGTCACATCCTCTGGAACTCTCTACCCCAATTTATCAGACTATTGTCTACACTGCTCACTTTTAGACGATCTCTGAAAACCTATCTCTTCAGGGATGCCTATCCTGCCCTCAGCTAACAATAGAATCTTCTATTCTTCCTACCAGTCCACCCCCCACAGATATTACCTTTTGTACCACTAGCCCTTCCCTCTTAGATTGTAAGCTCCAAGGATCAGGGCCCTCCGAACCCTCTTGTATTGAACTGTATTGTTGCTATATTGTCTCCCGTTATATTGTAAAGCGCTGAGCAAACTGTTGGCGCCATAAATCCTGTATAATAATAATAATAAAGAAACCAGGGTGGATTTTATTTAAATCAAGTTGATTGAAATCATGATTTAAATCATGATTTTAAATCACTAGTGAAAAGGCTCGATTTAAATCATAATTTTTAAAGAGTAGCACAGTGGCTAAGTGGTTAGCATTTCCGTCTGCCAGTACTAGAGTTGTTGGTTTGAATCCCAACCACTGTACCAACTGCCTGGAGATGGCATGTTCTCCCTGTGAAAATAGGGGGTGGAGAACTGAAGTGGTCAGTGGATATCTTTCAAATATAAACTACTTAGTGTGATGTATTTGTGACTAGATGCCACACATGCTTTTGTCTCAGAGGGGATGATGGCTTTAACAAATCACATGCTTGAAAATTGCATTAATGGAACTGCAAGGAGCTAAACCCAAAGTAGGGCAGCACAGTGGCAAAGTGGTTAGCACTTCCACCTAGCCACAGTAAGGTCGTTGATTCAAGTCCCAACCACAGCACTACCTTCCTGGAGTTTGCATGTTCTCCCTGTGCCTGCGTTAGTTTCCTCCGGGTACTCCAGATTCCTCCCATACTCCAAACACATGCTGATAGGTGTATTGGCTCCTGTCTAAATTGGCTCTAGTATGTATATGTAAGAATGTGAGTTAGGGACCTTAGATTGTACGCCCCTTGAAGATTAGGGACTGATGCGAATGTATAATATTTATATAAAGCACTGCATAAATTGACGGCGTTATATAAGTACCTGTAATAAATAAATAAAGAGCAACTGTCATCTCTATCCTGCAGCAGTTCCTCCTCTGACTCACGAACAGTCCCATTCACTTTAACCACTTGCTCTCCAGAGGATTTCCCCCTCCTCCCTTCCTGACCAGGCTATTTTTTGCGATATGGCGCTGTGTTAATTTAACTGACAATTGCGCAGTCATGCAACACTGCACCCAAATAAAATTTACGTTCTTTTTTTCCCCACAAATAGAGCTTTCTTTTGGTGGTATTTGATCGCCCCTGCGTTTTTTATTTTTTGCGCTATTAAAAAAACAAGAGCGACAATTTTGAGAAATAAACAATATTTTTGACTTTTTGCTATTAAACATGTCCAGTAAAAAAAATTTAAAAATCAAATCTCATCATAAATTTAAGCCAAAATGTATTCTGCTCCGTGTCTTTGCTGAAAAAAAAATCCCAATACGTGTAAATTAATCGGTTTACGTGAAAGTTATAGCATCTACAAATGGCGGTATAGATAACAGGATTTTTTTTTTTTGTACTAGTAATGGCGGCGATCAGCTACTTAGAGCGGGACTGCAGCAGACATTTTGACACTGGGGGGGAACTTACTTGGTGTCACTGACATCCACAATGACACTAATACAGTGATCAGTGCTAAAAAAAAAAAGCACTAACACTGTACTAATGGTACTGGGCAGGAAGGGGTTAACATCTGGGGAGATCAAAGGGTTAACTGTGTGCAGGGAGTGTTTTACCAGGGGCGGTGTCTGTGTGTTTCACTGTAATCACACTGCTCTGGATAGCTGTGCTATAGCAGTGTGCCCAGCTAACAGGGAGGAGGACTGTTAGTAAACAAAACAGTCCTGCTCCCCGTCAGAGATGCTCGGTAATCACCGGCGCCGGCAGGTAATCACCAGCTGGGACCTGGTGATTGACAGCCGATAATGGTGGCACGGGTTGCCCCCTACACGGAAATTTAAATCATGTATATATACATTTTGCACACCCATGCAGGACTGTAGCAGTATTTCTGCTATAGGGCGATCGGGAAACGAGGCTGGTGATGCGGCAGGGACACACAAGGTGAGGGACGTGGAGGCAGCAGGTGAGTGGATGCCCGCTAACAGGCGCTGCCATGCTGGATCTAAAATGACAGGTGCTCTTTAAATGTAAGGAATCCAACTCATTCTTGCTGGTAGTTAGTATTTTTAATATTTGCAAACCAAATGAAGGTTTCCTTTTTACAATAATAAGCTGTCAGGTTAGTAAAAAAGCGATATTGGAACCAATTTTGCATGTCTAACAAATTATAAACTGATTTGCATGTTCATGAAGGAAATACGTATTTGATCCCCTATCATTCAGCAGGATTTCTGGCTACCAAGTGTCCTTCATACAGGTAACAAGCTGAGATTAGAAGCAGTCTCTTAAAGGGAGTGCTGCTAATCTCATTTTGTTACCTGTATAAAAGACACCTGTCCACAGGAGCAATCAAACAATCAGATTCCAAACTCTCCACCATGGCACAGACCAAAGAGCTGTCCAAGGATGTCAGGGACAAGATTGTAGACCTACACAAGGCAGGACTGGGCTACCAAACTAACGCCAAGCAGCTTGGTGAGAAGGTGACAACAGTTGGTGCAATCATTCATTAGCAGCACTCCGTTTAAGAGACTGCTTCTAATCTCAGCTTGTTACCTGTATGAAAGATACCTGGTAGCCAGAAATCCTGCTGAATGATAGGGGATCAAATACTTATTTCCCTCATGATCATGCAGATCATTCATCATTTGTTAGACATGCATTTCTTTTGAATATTTTGTTGCTATTCTGTCTCTCAGTGTTACAATACATCTACCATTCGATTTTTAGACCGATCATTTCTTTGTGAGTGGACAAACAATCAAAATCAGCAGGGGATCAAATATGCATTTCCTTCACTGTAGTCAGTTACATTTAAGGAAAGGTGTGGTCAGTACTTGCATAGAGATTTCTGGGACCCTGCATGCTCCATAAAATAATCTGAAGATGCATACATTGTCTTGGACCTCAAAAAAGATTCTGTTAATTTTTTTTATTTTCGTGATTTAGTTTTTATTACCCACCTGTGGTGATCTCTGGAGGAATGTTATCCTCTTTAAATTGCTCACCACCCGTCACAATCATCTCTTCGTCTTGTGTATCTTTGGTTTTATATTCATACTGGCTTTCTTCCTGTTTATCAAGAAAAGCAAAATGATATTGCCCAATTTCTTGGACTGGGTTAAACACAAGAGTTACAACCTGCCAACCACATTCCATCTACTGATAATGGTAAGGGATCTTGTGATGTTCCTGTCCTGTAGAAAAACCATACAGAGCTAATAAACACTGATGTAAGAGTGAAAAATTATGAAGAATTTTTTTGCATTTAATTTTTTTTGTTTTTTGAATTTTTATTGTATTTGTATTTTGAATTTTTACTCACCAATTCTGATCTTTTTTGGTATGTCCTCCTCTTTAATGCTCACATGTCCTCCTTCCTTCTCCTTAGCTTTGATATCTCTCTGAGTGTCTCTGGTGTCTCTGGGGTCTGTGAATAAAGATGAGAGTGAAGCCCCCTGTACTGAGATGTATGAGAGACCCCAGAGAGTGTGTGTGGGGGGAGACTGGTCACATCTCAATGACATGATGTGAGGAGGAGAGCCGGAGTCTAATAGAGGCTGATGGCTCCTGACCCCCCTCACTGGGCACATACTGTCCCCCCATTACTGTCTATTGACAGAGGAGGGGGAGAAGAGGAGATGGTTGTAGTGACTGAACAAGGAGGATCTGGGACTCTTCTCTGGATTTAGTGTTTATTCCTCACCTGGGCTGATCTCTGGAGGCATCTCCTCCTCCTTCCATGGCTCATACCTGGAGTCTACTAAAGGCTGATGGCTCCTGACCCCCCCACTGGGCACATATTGTCCCCCCATTACTGTCTACTGACAGAGGAGGGGGGAGAAGAAGAGATGGTTGTAGTGACTAAACAAGGGGGATCTGGGACTCTTCCCTGGAGTTAACCTAGGTTCACACCTGTGCGTGTTGAGTCAGTGCGTTTTTTTGAAAAGGGTCAGGGACTTTTTTTATCCTGCAGAAGATTGCATTTTGCATGTAATAGACTTCAATGGACACGCACCACAAATGCAAGTGTTGTGTTTTTTGTTATGCGTTTTGCAGGGGGGGGGGGGGGGAAGTATTAACTTTGATGGGATTTTGGATTGGTGCGACTTGGATGTGCCTTTGGATGGGTGTGACTTTTTCTTTCCTATTAGCAAAAAAAAAGTTGCAAGAGCTCTGGTTCACACAGGATGTTTTTACAGCGGCTGTTTTTGGCTTTTGGTATTTTTCTCTACAGCCAGTAAACCCCCCAGCATGTTATCCTATGTGTCCATGCTCACATCGACTGTAACCAGCGTTTTTTTTGGCAGGGGCATTTTTCAGCTGGAAAAAAAACCCAGGACTAGTGGGTTTCTAGAGTAGTTTTTAAGCTGTAAAAACGCTCTAATGCTGAAAAAATGTGGTAAAACGTGGCAAACTGGAATTTTTGGACTTTTTTTTACCTAAAAA